AAAGCTCATTATCTTTCAATTTCGAACCAACTTAAGTCAGTTCCGGTACACCCAGAGGTACCCTTCGAGGATGTGGCATCCAGGGAGCTAGGCTGCGTCTGGGCGCCCGCCTAGGCGGCTCTAGGAGGCTCTAGGCGGCCTAGGCGGTTCTAGGCGGCCCTAGGAAGGTCTAGGCGGCTCTAGGCGTCCCTAGGCGGATCTAGGCGGGCCTAGCCGCCCTTGGTGGCTCTAGGCACTCAAGGAAGGTCTAGGCAGCCCTAGGCGGCTCTAGGCGGCCCTAGGAGGGTCTGGGCGGGCGTTTTGCCGTCGAGGCGTTGACGAAGGGTGATGGAAGTGCGCAGGATCCGCTGCTTGTTAGGAAGAAAGACGGAGAGATGGAGAGAGAGATCGAGACAGAGAGAGGAAGGAGAAGGCGACGCTGGGAAGAGAAAATCCATATCTGACCTAATTTTCGTATTTGAAAAGTATAGCCGCTCGGCTAGACTATTAACTTGAAAAAAAAACCGGAGCATAAAGGGTGGCCATACTATTTTTATATTTTATATTTAACCCGTATAGCCGGCGGCTATACTATTAATTTCAGGAAAAAAATTGGAAAATGGAGTATAACCGCATGGCTGTACGCTTTTAATATGGGTTTAAATATGCAATTATGAAACCGAGAAGCTTGATAACCTGCATACAAAGTACTGGCCGAAGCGATGACAAAGCTCAACAAGTTTCTACTTTACCCTCCTCCACCTCTTGTACTGTAAATTCAAGTTGTAAAATTTTGAAATGCTCCAACGACCCCTTTGAATCTCAAACTATATCGCGGAAAACTTTTCTATCCATTTATGGAGATGTTAAAAGTACATTGCAACTTTTACTTCACTCCTGTGGGACTTGAATACTTTGAACTTAGAACTGTAGGTAAGAATGTGCTTGTGAGCGTCCATGTTTCGGTCCGGTGGACATAGCGTACTCTTGTTCAGTCATATTCATTGAGGTCCAGAGGTTAGTGGTGGCGATAACCTGTTTCTTCATGCCCTACCTATCAAAAATAAAACCCTACTTTATAATACAGAAAATAACCCTACACGCAAGTAGATGCGTTGTAATCTTACAGATCAGAGATTAGAAAATAACCCCACAATGTGTATTTCAAGGGTATAGCCGGACGGCTATACTGTCTGAATACATTCGAATATTTTAAAAGTGTAGCCGTACGGCTAGAATATGTAAATATTAATATATTCGAATATTTTAATAGTATAGCCGCTCGGCTATACTCTTTAAATATTAGCACGAAGCTTGCACTCGCAATCAGAGCCATTTCGATTCTCTATCAAACTAAAGCTCCGATTGGTTTTCTTCGGATTCGGCTGCTTCGTCCTCCAGGTTTGGCATCGTAAAAAGACCCAACCCGTCTAGTTGGCCCGCCCAGCCGCCTAGTCCCCGCCTAGCCGCCTAGCCACCGCCTAGCCGCCTAGCGCCCGCCTAGCCCCACATCGCCGGCTTGTTGCAGATTTTGACGGAGAAGATTCTGATATCGGAGACAGGGTCGAGTTCCAGAGCCATAGAATTGGACAATATTCAGGAGGAGATTGAGGAGGTGTCTGCCGTTCCGGAAGTGAAGGAGAAGAAGAAGAGCATAAATGCTTTGAGGAAGGGGTTGGAAGGTGAAAAGGTCCGAGCTATGCAAGTCTGCTTGCTTTTGAAATGCGAGTTTTTATTTTTCGGAATCTATCATTCATTTCTTGTGTTTTGTTTATGATTTAGTGTTGTCTTTGAATTATAAAATGGTACTTTTAAATTTGGCAAATTGAAAACTGAGCAGCATACAGTTTTTTACAACTTACAAGGGGGTATTAACTTTCTCTTTAGTATAGAAAGTTGTTAACTTTTGTTTCTTTTCTTTTTCTGTAACTGGGTTTGTGTGGTTATTTCCTTTTCTAGTGTTCGCTTCGTTTTTGGATGTAATATTTGTGATTTCAACTTGTTCTAATATAATGTTGCTGTTATTTGACAGGAAGCATTGCAAAAACTAGGATTTTACTCGGGTGAGGAAGACATGGAGTTTTCCAGCTTCTCAAGCGGGACCGAACGTGCTGTCAAGACTTGGCAAGTAAGTTTCAATTATCATTAGATGTTACTATGTATAATGCATGAAGAGTAAAATTTCAGAATCATCAAGTTGAACAAAAATTTCACAACGCAAAATATATATGTTAGTCAACTTGTAATATCTTGTTTGACAGGCCTCCTTAGACACCCCTCAAGATGGCATAGTGACTGCAGAACTTCCTGAACAATTATATACAGTGGCACAAATTGAGGGTCTGGATAACAAAGGGAGTACTCTGACTGCTACACAAAAGGTATAGCCTTCTGACGACATACCATTAGCCTTTATTAAGTGGAAGCCGTTGATGTTTTAAGTTTCTGTACCAATATATCATTCCTCACTTGGAACTGAACATAATGGTTTGGTAAGTCATTACTTGCATTCCTCAAGAGGAGCCAAAAACTCATTTGATGGTTCAATTTGAAGTGAACTAAGCCTTCATTTTCTTCAACCAGATTGTAAAGAATTAGAGCAAACAGTACTAAGTACCAACCAAGAAGCTCTGTTACTTAATTGAGAAATGTACCTGAAGCTCCGACTCTATTTTCAATAACCCAGACATCAGTTTCTTGGTTCCAGTTCATGAGTCAATCACTTAACGTGCAATTAAATACGATATGACAGTGTCGTAATGTGCTGTGGTAACTGGTAACACACCGTAACTTATTTTGGATACTAATAAATGAAGCTGATTATATTGGTAAACTGATTTTCTTCTCTTGGTTGGCCTTGAGCTAGCAACCTGATCATGTTCGTATAAGCTATAGCGAACCACTACATATGCTGAAACATCGTAATTCTTCTAATGGTTGCGTGGGTTCTGTTGTTTGGGAAGATACAAATGCAGCTGCAGTTACTTCTGGAACAGAAATTTCAGAGGTCCAGCAAACACTTGTGAAAGAAGGTGTTACAAAAGTAGAGGTATCTGAGCATCGTGTTTTTCTCCTTGGAGAGAACTGCTGGGAAGATTCTTCTAGGCTTAGCAGGAACCAAAAAAAAGTAGGTGAAAGCAAGATGATGAATACCACAATAGGTGTCTTACTTGTCGAGGGGAGGGTTGCTTATTGTGCACAGGTACCTCCTATCTGTCTCCCGTCTTAGTCACTACATTCAAGTTTATAAACCATTGCCTTGCTACGCTAAACTTTTGCAGAAGTACTCTAAATCCACCCATACTCTGTATTTGTATATTTATTTTGTTTGATCTGATTTTTAAATATAATGTTGAACACCAATGGCTTTGATGACGATATGCATTAGTTTCATTTTTGTACTTTTGCATATTTTGTTTCAACTATCCTCAGTCCCCTTGGTAGCTTATCTGTATTTCTTTGTTGCAGAATGTGATGGAACAGGCGAGCCAAATGTTGAAGAACAGGTTAGAGGTTTCAAATAGAGATATTAATATTCTCATTTTCGAGCATTATCCATCCAGGATGAAGTTTTAATTATTTTGTTAAATGACAGCAGTTCTTGGATAGGGTGGAAGAGGGAGCAAAATGTCCATGTTGTGAAGGTCATGGGTTTACAATTTGCGACGTATGTGAAGGGGCAACAGTAGCTTAGGTATCAAAATATGTTCCCATAAAGACATGTGCAGTTTTATGCTTTAGTACATGTGTTTAATGGTAGTTTGCATTTATAAACAAATGCAGAAAATCATATGTATATCTACTGTTTATTATACAAGTCAACGGGGTTTAGCTCAATGAAAAAGGGTAATGACTTGCAAACCAGAGGTCTCATGCTCGAACCATGACATCATAGTTGGTTGTGTGTGTGTGTGTGTGAGAAATCCCCCTCCCCTTTAGACTATTGCTTGTACTATAAAAAATAAAAATAAAAATTAATTAAAAAATAAAAAAACAAGTTGACGTTGTACTTGGAAAACCGTTTTTGGCATGGCCTAGCCGCCTAGCGGCCCACCTAGGACAATTTTTCGAACAATGCGATGGACTGAAAGTTTTGAAACCCGAAATTGAAAAAATGTACCTTCGAATTTGAGCTTGAGATTGGGAAGCAAACATCGACGACAATTCCTCCCTCTGCCAAAAATAATATGACAAAATTGTTTATTTAAAGAGTAGGCCGGTTATACTTTTCAAATATATTTGCATATTTTAAAACTATAGCCACACGGCTATACATCCTCTAAACTATTCGAATATATTTTAAGAGTATAGCCTATACGCTTTAAATATATTCCTCACGAACACGAAGCTTGCACTCGCAAAGGAATGTGGTGCACGAGTGAAATGAAGGGACAGATAAACAAACACAAAGCTTGCACTCGCATTCACAGCCATTTCGCTTCTCTATAAGCGCTTCCAAGCTTCAAAGACTCTGTCTTGAGCCTCTCTCTCAACTCAAGCTTCGATTTTTTTTTATTTTTTTTTATTTTTGGGTTTCGGCTGCTGCGTTGATTCCATTGGATTTGGCTTTCTCAATGTATGCCGAGGCAGAGCCTTATGTCTTCCGAGTCCAAGCGCCACCTAGTGACAGCCTAGCCACCTAGCGGCCCACCTAGGCCGATTTTTCGAACACTACGATTGACTGAAATTCTGAAACCCAAAGTTGAAAAAATGTAGCTGCAAATTTGAGCTTGAGATTGGGAAGCTCATGCAGTGAAGCACAAGTCAGGTCCATAGAAGAAGAGATCATGAGACTCTTAATTCATCTAATTCCATTTCTCTCCCTATTTCCCCCTTTATTCTCTTCTCTCTTGGCTCTCTCCCAAACGACATGTTCACCTCACCACACCAACGACATCGACGACAATTCCTCCCTCTGCCAACTCCGCCTTATTCTCTTCTCTGTTTGCATTGACGACATGGCACATAAGAAAAAAATACAAAATTTGCTGACTTGGTGTCTGTCTTTAGTGGAAAAAAAAATGATGAAGCTATCATGGAGTTTCTATGGTCTTGCCAATAACAAGGTTCAGTTTTTAGGCCCCAATCTCAAATTCTGACTATTTATTTCCGGTCTGGTTAAGCAATAGATTGATTGGTTTGGTTCTTCTTCTTTGAATCTTTATGCATTCAATATTCATCCATTAATGGTTCTTCTTGGTTGGACTGCTTTTCATTCTTTGGATATTGCATTTCTATTATAGATTTTGACAGTTGATCATGCCCTCGTGTTTGTTGAGAGAAAAATAATAATAATAATAAAATAAATATAAAAAAAATAAATAATAATAATAATAATAATAATAATAATAATAAGAGTTGTCTCCTCCTCCTCTTGCATAGGAACACAAAACAAACCCACCAAAGAACAGAAAAAATAAATAAATAAATAAATATTTCACCACCTCAAGTGAAAAATCTAATTCATTTAAGCTTTTATATTAGTTCTTTTGTCAGCATCTGTGTTTTTGTAGTGTGAACTCCACCTCAACTCCAAAGAAATAAAATAAAATAAAAAATTAGAGGGTGCATTTGCTAACGCATGGGTTGGGAATCTCTTAATTATATTTAACTTTTCAAACTGACTTCAAAAGCACTAGATTAACACACCAACATGAAATATCGTTTATCAAGCCTCCATTAGTATAAAAGGACTGTGACTTCATTAGTTGAAAATGCTTTAGAAGAAGGATCGACTTCTAGTTCATTGAGATCCCTTTCACTATAAAAACCAGGTTTTTGAGGTTGAGGCAATGACCTTTCACCACTCAACATTACAACTGCAACTGGCATGCTCGGCCTATCTGCCGGGTTATGCTGCACACCTAAAAGACCTACATGATGAAGATAGAGGAGCCCTGAACAATTCCATTAATCATGTCAAATCTCTTGGGCCAATCTAGCATCATGCTTTTTCTTGCAATTTCTAGTTTTGTGATTTTTTTCAATTCTAGTGGTGGTGGCGGGGATGGCGGTTGTGGAGGTGGTGGTGGTGATGACAGTGGCAGCATGGTGGTGGTGGTGGTGTTGGTGTTGGTTGTGGAGATGGTGGTGGATGTGGAGGTTTTGGAGGAGGTGGTGGTGGTGGTGGCAGTGGCGGTGGTTGTGGGGGTAGTGATTGTGGTGGTGCAAGTGGTGGAGTCGGATGTGGAAGTGGAGGTGGTGCCATTTTTTAAAATGAATGATGGTATTTTTGGGAATTTAAAAAATTCATTAAGGGTTCAACTCTGCTTCTTTTGAAAGTAGCTTTGAAAAGCAACCCATAGCTTGCTTTTAAAAGTTGTTATCCAAAGGCCATTGCTTTTAAAATAATCGGGATATTTTATTTTTGCGAAACACCTTAAACTGCTTAACTTTAAAGTGAAGCAAGTTTTTGGCAAAAAAGCAATCCCAAACGGAGCCTAATTCTGCAACTTTTGCCACTCCTTTTCAGACTTGTAAAATCACATTAACCCAATTGAGCTCAAAAGCAATAGGATTTTCAACCGTTTTTATAAATGTTATTCTATTTTTCTTATTGTTTATTATCTATTTTCTTTTTCTTTGATTATTTATTTTACTCGAAATTACAAGTTTACCCTTATAGTTAACAAAAAATCGAATGAAATTCAAAAAACTTAATGACAATGGATAAATTGGCCGTTTTATTTAATTTGGATATTAAATTGGATGACTTTTTGGTTTGGGGAATTGAGTTCGATTGGGGTCCTAATTCTGGGGGTGTATGATAATTTACTCAGAGCAATATGAACATGAGAACTGAAAATCAAGTATTTCATATTGCCATAAGTTGCACTATATGATACGTATGGCTTAAATGTTAAAATGGTCCATGTGTTTTATCCTATTGGCCAATTTAGTCTCTGTGTTATCAATTTGGCCAATTTGGTCCTTATGTTTGTATAATTTAGCCAATGTAGTCCATTCTCTTAAAAATATAAAATATAAAATATTTAAAATTAATTTAAAAAAAACTGTAATTGATTATAAATTTTAAATTCAATCTGAAAATGGGTTTTTTTTTTTTTTTTTTTTTTTTTTTTTAATTTCACCTTCCCCAATTTCACGCTCACACCTCAACCACCTCCCAAACCCAGCCACCATCACCACCACCACTCCAAACCCAAACCCATAGCCACCCTCACCACCCTAGCCACCATTCCAACCCCACCTAAACCACAGCCACTCTCTCTCGCAACTTCCTCTCTGACAAATCACGAAGATCTTTATAGCCGGTCACCGTAACCTTGATGGCTCTGACACCAATTGATCATCCTTGCTGCAGCAAAAGTCGACGACATTCAGGCCAATGGATCAGAGAGGCGAGAGAGATGAAGGATAGAGTATGAGAAAAACCAAGACAAAAAAGAGAAGAAAAATTGCAGCAAGAAAAGAGTAGGCATCAATTTGACTAAGAACCTTCTTTTTTCCTACAGGAATCGAGACCATTGGAAGAGTGGAGGTTGAGGTTGTGTGGGTTTTAATCATTTTAGCATTATTATTATTTGAGGTTAAATCTTTATAATTATTTACAGATTTTTTATAATTAATTTTAAATGTCTTTTTTAAGGTTTTAACATAATTTTGACGGAAAGGACCAGTTTGTTATTTACAGGGTATAGCCGGCCGGCTATACTTTGAAATATTCGGTTAAGATATAAATGTTCTAAATATTCTATTTTGAATTATAGCCGTGCGGCTATACTGTTAAAATATTATTTATGGCTTATAGCCGCGCGGCTATACTCTTTGAATATATTACGTTTCAATTACTTTTATTTATTTAATGAAGAATTAGTATTTAAACGAGAGAATGGATTTTGGGGTTTCTCGAAAGGAGAAAAGGGTCTCTAGGGTTTGTTAGGGTTTGTATTTTTGACGGCGGTTCTCTTGCGGCACACGACACCCCTTAACGACTCCTGGTGTGTCGATCTTCAGACAACGGCGGTGTGGGATATGGAGGATTTAGAGCTACGGTTTGGTGCAAATCTTCGGTTGTCTGATCGAGAACGTCAGGGGGTCCACATCGGGGAGATTGAACTTGGCAGTCAATTTGTTGGCCTTCACAACACCCTTGTGGCAAAAGTTCTATCCAATCGAGTCGTTAATAAGGAGGGTTTCTTTTCCTCCTTCTCTCGTTTGTGGAAAGGCATTTCTGAAGTCTCGATTAGGGAGATTGCTGATAAATTATTTCTGGTGAGATTTGAGAATCACAGGGACAAAGCTAGGGTTTTGGATATGGAGCCTTGGACATTTCGTGATGCCCTTGTCTTGCTTTCGGAAGTCACGGTGGGTTGTGATATTAGATCTGTAGATTTGAAGATGGGAGTTTTCTGGGTGCAGCTTCATGGGATCCCTCCCTTAACCATGACTGTTGGTGTGGCAAGAAAGATTGGTTCGCTCCTAGGTCAGGTTGCGGAAGTGGACCATGCAGATGGGGAAGACTGCGTTGGGTGCTTTGCGAGGGTTCGTATTCAATTTGATGTCACCCAACCCCTTATGCGGGGTGCCTTTGTTGAGTTTCCTGAGGTTGGATCGGTATGGATCAGCTTTCTCTACGAGTTTCTACCTGAATACTGTTTTATCTGTGGCTGCTTGGGGCATCCAAGCCGTGTCTGTTTGGAAAAAGCTGGAGAATGCTCTTCTCAACGCTGTGGAGTTGAGTCATTATATGCCTTTGCTGGTCTTGAGGCTGTTGAAGATATGCGAGGCCGGCCTTTGAAATCGGTTCTTCGTAGGGTTGCGCAAGGAAGTCCAAATGCAGGATCATGGCGGCCCCGTGCGCAGCATGCTTCGGAGAGGAGGTTATCATTAGCGGAATCTATCCGACAGCAGCGGGAACTTGACACACGTCGCACTCAGGTTCTGGCGCAAGCCTGGGATGCAGGCCTGTTTGGTTCTGGAGGAGTACTCCATGGGGCTCACACAGCTGCTAATCCAGCTTCGGTACCAATTGAGGTAGCAGAGTCGGCTGAAGAGGCTCGCACTTTTCCTGGAAAAGCTGATCCTTTACGCCCTGGTCCACTTGCCCGGATGAGCTGCGGTAAGCGAGGTCGAGAAGTTTTTGACTCTAGGGTCAAGAGTTGCACTGGGGTCTTTGGTGATGAGACCCGACTTGGGGCTGAATTTGCTGGGGATTCTAGCAAGCGAAGATTGCTGGTTCTTGAGGAATCAGAACAGACTGTGGAGACCGGCCTTGACCTGTCTCCACGATCGCCATGAAAATATTTGTTTGGAACTGTCAAGGCATTGGGGGTGGCTTGACAGTTTCTAGTCTGAAGGAGCAAGTCCGACTCCACTCCCCCGATTTAGTGGTGCTTCTAGAAACCAAAACTAGGAGGCACCGCTATGAGTATCTAAAGAGGCAATTGGACATGGAATTTTTGTTTGCGGTTGAACCGCGTGGGCTTAGTGGAGGTTTATGTATGTTTTGGCGGGAGGCTCAACAGGTGGAACTAATAAATTATGCAGATTTTTGCATTGAGGCTCTGATCTATGACTCTGATTCTCAACTCAAATGGCGTTTTTTTTGGTATTTATGCGAGCACTGACGACCGTACTCGGAATGGACAATGGCGTATTTTATCTGACAGGATCAAGAACTACCCTGAACCATGTTTATGTTTGGGTGACTTTAATGATATATTGGTGGCTACGGAAAAACAAGGGGGCAACCTCCACTCGGAAAGGAGTATGGCGGACTTCCGAGCCTTTGTAACTGACGTTGGCCTATTAGACTTGGGTTTTGCTGGCTATCCCTTTACATGGCGAAATCGAAGGGAGAATGGTTTGATCCAAGAGAGACTTGATAGAGGTCTAGCCTCCGAACCTTGGCTTCGGAGCTATTCCGAAGCTAGAGTGATGCATGTGGCCTTGGCGGGTTCGGACCATCTGGGTCTTATGCTTTCTACTAAGCCTTCTACTTCGCGATGGCATCGCAGATTTGTTTATGATTCACGATGGGGGCGTCAGCCCCAATGCAAGAATGTCGTTTCTGAACGATGGCAGAAGTGTTTTCAAGGGTCCCGAGGGGACCAATTTATTGGGAAACTAGGTTGGGTGCGGACGGGTCTTGTTCAATGGAGGAGAACTGAAGGACGAAACTCTTCTGAGCATATTTCCTTACTTCGACAGCAGCTGCAATCTGCCTATACTAACCAGAATTTTAATGGCCCTATGGTGAGAGCTTTGGAGCAGGGCCTTAAGGAAGCTCTTCGTGAGGAGGAGCTCTTCTGGAAGCAAAAATCTCGCATACAGTGGTTGCAAGCAGGTGAAAAGAACACAAAATTTTTCCATTCCAAAGTGATGGCTCGTCGTCGACAAAATCGGTTATTGGGTTTGGAGGATGCTACTGGTGTTTGGTATGACAAGGAAACTTACATTCATGATATTGCCGTATCCTATTTTCAAGATTTGTTCACTACTAGCCGCCCTTCTCGCATAAATGAAACGGTAGATTGTGTAAGTCAACGACTTTCAATGAGTGAAAGCTCCTCCTTGCTTAAAACGGTCACCCGGGAAGAGGTTTTTGAAACTGTGAAGAGCTTGAGTCCCTCAGCTTCTCCGGGGCCTGATGGCTTCACTGGGGCCTTCTTTCAACACCATTGGTCTGTGGTCGGAGATGATGTATTTAGGGTAGTCCAGAGTTTCTTTCACTCTGGCAAGCTGCCTAAACGACTCAATCACACTCATATCACCCTTATCCCAAAAGTTCTGAATCCTAGGAATATGAAACAGTGGAGGCCAATCTCTCTTTATAATGTGATCTATAAAATTATCTCGAAAATCCTCACCAACCGTTTGAAATCTGTGTTGCCTCTTCTTATTAGTCCTCACCAGTCTGCTTTTGTTGCAGAAAGGCAGATCACGGACAATATCTTAGTAGTCCACGAAATCTTACATTCTCTCCAAAGGGGTAAGCGCTCCGATCCTAAGACCTTGGCTCTCAAGCTTGATATGGCGAAAGCTTTTGACCGCGTGGAATGGCCTTTCCTGATTGCAATGATGAAGAAGCTGGGTTTCCCTTACCAATTCTGCTCTTGGATTTTTGAATGCATCTCCACAGTTTCGTACAGTGTTCTAATCAATGGTGCTCCAATTGGTAAAATTACTCCCTCGAGGGGATTGAGGCAGGGTGACCCTTTATCTCCCTTTCTATTTCTTATTTGTGCAGAAGGGCTTACTTCTCTCATTAAAGCGCATGAGGCAAGACAAGCTCTACATGGGTTCCAACTCCGAAGGGATGGGATTAGCATTAGCCATCTCTTATTTGCTGATGACTCTGTCTTATTTTGCAAAGCTGATGCCAGGGAAGCGGAGTGTGTTTTAAACATTTTACAGTGTTATGAAGCGGGTTCTGGACAAAGCGTCAACTTTGATAAGAGTTCTATTTTCTATAGTGCCCATTGCTCATCTCGCCTACGTGTACAAATGGAGCAGATCCTACAGGTTAAAGGCCGTAAGGATTTTGGAAAATATCTAGGCATTATGGCAGATTTTGGAGCGTCTAAAAGAAAAGTTTTTGAGGAGGTCCGTCGTAAGCTAGATGGCAAGCTCCATGGCTGGGCTGAACAATTCCTTTCACCGGCGGGCAAAGAGGTCCTCATAAAGGCTGTTGCTATGGCCATGCCCTGTTATACCATGTCTTGTTTTAAGCTGCCAGTGACACTATGCAAAGAAATTGAAGCTGCCATGGCTAGGTTTTGGTGGAAGTCCCACTCGGACAAAAACGGCATTCATTGGGCTAGCTGGACAAAACTATCTCAGCTCAAAAAGGCAGGCGGTTTGGGCTTCCGTGATCTCCAATGTTTCAATATGGCTTTACTTGCGAAGATTGGTTGGCGTATTTTGCATAACCCGAGCTCTTTGCTTGCATGCTTGCTCCATGACAAGTATTTTGTCGGGGCGTCCTTCCTCACTGCTACCTCTCAAAAATCATCTTCCTGGGGATGGAAAGGTATTCTCCAAGGGCGTCGTCTGCTTGAATCTGGATTGCGTTGGCGTATAGGAGATGGCACTACAGTCCAGGTACGTAATGATCCGTGGCTTCCAACCCCTTACACCTTTCGAACTCTCTCGCGACATCCAGATCTTCCCTACATGGTCCATGAACTCATTGATCCTCTCCTGAAAACTTGGAAAAAAGATGTGGTAAATAGGTGTTTTGTACCGGAAGAGGCCACCCACATTTTAAGTATCCCTATCAGCCGGTGGGGCTGTCCAGACAAGCTAATTTGGCATTTCAACATGCATGGACGGTACACTGTTCGGTCCGGTTATGAATTAGCGCTACACCTACAACGGAATGGTGAATTGGGGCGTAAGGGAGCGGGTGAAGCCAGCAGTAGCTCATCTCAATCTTCAGTTTGGAAATCAGTTTGGCATGTTGATGCACCTCCCAAGCTCAAAGCCTTCATTTGGTGTGGTTGCTCCAACATTCTTGCAGTGAGGCACAATTTGCACAGGCGGCGTGTACCGTGTACCGGGGAATGTGGCTTTTGTGGCTTTCAGGATGAAACTCAGGCTCATATTTTTTTCGAATGTGACTTTGCCCGTGCCTTCTGGTTTGCCAGCCCTCTTCAACTTGACGTGAGTAAGTTAGCGGGTGAGGATTTTATTTCTACTTGGCAACATATGATGACAACGCTCAACTCATCTGAGCATGCGGCGGAGGCTATTCAGTGGTTTGTTTTTGGGCTGTGGCGAATCTGGAAAGCCAGGAATTTAGCGGTCTTTGATGGTGTGCAGGCTGACCCTACTGAGGTTGTTCTCCTTCTGCTCAAGCAGGTTAGTGAATTCCGTACTGCTAAACATGACCTCCAGGACCTCCAGCCCCAGCCTCTCCAACCTGCCAGCAGTCCTGCTCCCCTGAGCTGGTGTAAACCTTCGCTCGGTCTTCTTAAAGTAAACTGTGATGCCGCATGGTCTGCTCAGCGGATGGGTGGGGGTGTTGGCTGGGTCATACGGGATTCTTTTGGTTTATTGCTATGTGCGGGTGGACAGGGAGACCTTCATGGTTCCTCCGCTATTATGATGGAACTTCTAGCTATTCGCCATGCGCTCAGTGAGTGTGCTAATTTTCATCTCACAGACATTATTGTGGAGTCGGATTCTCAAAAGGGTATCTTAATGCTTAATGGTCGGGCTACAGTGGACTCAGACTTGGAGGGGATTGTCTTTGATATCAGGCAGTTGGTGGCTTCTCTTTCTCGGGTTTCCTTTGTGTTTGCTCCTCGGTCCTGTAACCAGGCTGCCCATTCTGTTGCGGGTTTTGCCTCTAAGCAGGGGGGTAATCATGTTTGGGATCATCTAGGACCTGATTGGCTTTTTAATTTTCTTACCTCTGATGTAAACCTTCACCTTCGTTATTAATATCATTCTCCAGCGTTTTGACAAAAAAAAAAAAAAAAAATTTAATAGAAATTAGTGAATAAATACTAATTAATTATATTTAATTATCTTAAATAATTTCGTGAATTTTAAAATTATTTTAAAATATTTCAATTATTTAAAAATTCTAGAAAATTATATAAGAATAGGTGCTTTCTCCATTACGGATTACAAATTTGCAGATTAAATACAGATTTCTATTTGGAACAGTTAGGGGAGTGTATCCAATTCAAACTTTTAATGACTTTTATAGAGTTTAAAAGTCTTGAGGTATTCAATTTAGACTTTTAAAGAGTATATAAAAGTCTAGTGGTATTCAATTGTGACTTTTAAGAAGTATTTAAAAGTTCGGTGGTATTCAGTTATGACTTTTAAAAAGTATTTAAAAGTTCGGTGGTATCCAAAAAGTTAATGACTTTTAAAAAGCTTATTAAATGAATGACTTTTCCATACTTTTAAGGCTAATTGTTAAGAGCAAAAGTCTTGCCAATTTACTAGTGACTTTTATCAACTCTATGAGAGTATTTAAGAATTTGTCATCTCTATGAAAGTCACTCACTTAAAAAAAAGTCTTTATAAGTATGAATTGGATACACCCCCCTTAGATGTCATGGGCGGTGGAGATAGGCAAAACATAAAAAATAACCCTTTGCACCACCCTTTGAGAAACAAAGAAACAACGGGAGACCTGTGCTTCTCTTTCGTATTTCCCACCAAAGAAACATTTCTTCCCCGTGCTTTTCTGAGTTCTCTCTCCCACCTGAAGAATTTTGCTCCAAGATTTTTACTCCATACCAAGGGGCAATAGCTCAAAGAACAGAGATTGAGAACCAAAATAGTTCACACCAAACTAAATTAAAGTGCAATCACTGACAGCAAACAATAAGAGCTTCTCCACAAGAGTTAATTTTTCTCTAGTTTTTATTTTTATTTTTTCTGACAGCAAACCCAAAAGGCACCAGCCTCTCCTCAAATCTCTCAGAAGAGTCTCTCAACAGTTTTTTCTCTTTCTTTTTTCCTTGTACCGATGGAATCAGACGCAGAAGACACCAAGTACCAAATGACCCAAAACCTCCTCCCTCTTTGGATTCAAAATGATGCCTTTAATTTTCTTGGATTTATCATAACCGCTACCCTATGTAATGATGTTGATGTTTTTATGAAAATAATATATTTGTGTAATGCATTTTCTATCAGTATAAATTTATATTTTTCCTGAGCCAAACATTAAAAAAATGAAAACATAATCATGATGGATCCATAATACTATACTAGCCCCTTGGCACATACTCACGTGAGCCAATTGGTTTTCTTTTTTATTTTTTTATTTTCTTTTTAGAATTAAGAAAAAGATAACACGGGTAGCTATGTTCTATAAAAATAGGACCTATTATATGATTTAGTTTTTAATTTTAATTTTTTTAATATGAAATAGTGTGAATTTACCATATTATCCTCATTTAATTAATAATTTCAATTATAAATGTTTGAATTAACCAATGGCATTTTTTGGTATTTTGAATGTTTCACCATTTTCTGCCTTTTACTTTATATATATAAATTTAATATTGAATGCTAGTTAATGTTCAACGTTTGAACCTGTGCAACGTATATTATAGCTCCCTCACATACGCATAACACATTTGGTACAATTTAATTTTAAACAAGAAATTTTGTTATATTTAGAACAAAGTGTTATATTTAACATATTACTCACAGAAAGATTTGTACAGTGGTTCTCTTACACATACGTCCGGTAAGGAAAATTATTTAATGTCATCATGTACGGAAGCACCAATTGAAAATATATATATATATATATATTTTTTTTTGACATAACGAATTGAAAAGTATTTAATATCATTACATTGGTCAAATAGGCACATATTCCGCAAATATTTGTTGATCCTTATATGAATCCAAATACTCATAAGCATTTGGATTTGTTGTTGATTGTGCATTGGAAAAAGGAATGTCCAACGGAAAATTATTATTACAATAATAGTGAATTATGATTACAAGGAAATTTTTCAATAAAAACGGAAAATTTTTCAATAAAAATGGAAAATTTAATGTCATCATGTACAAAGAAGGAAAAAAAAACCAATTTAATATAATGAATACAAAACGCCTATAAATATTGCCCTGCAGACTCACAAACAATACGACCACTATTCTAAGAGAGGAGAATTTCAGTACTAAACTAGAAACCAATTACTCCTACTTAGAAAAATGGTGAAGGCTTCCTCCATAACAGTGTGCTTGCTTCTCCTCCTTGTTGTGGCACATGGTAAGCATATCCTCATCTCATCTCTTTTATAAATATCTTGGTAATGTGCATACTATATTGTCGTCGATCTTCAAATTAATTGTTGGATATACATATATTTAGGTTTGCGAGATGGAGTTAAAAGTGGGAAATTTGAACATGCAAAGAAGGTTTCGTCCCCTTCCCCGTCGTCAGAAGTCTATCATCTAGAATGTGAATCTAGTAGCCAGTGCTATGGTTGCAATCCTCCTAACTGCAATAATTGTATAGATGGAACTTGTGCTTGTTACTGCTGAAAAGATATCAAGAATAAGCTTGTAACTTGCTCAAATTCAAGAACACTTCAGCTCTCTGCTTGTAGTACTAATAAAGAAGATCAATTTTGATCTGAGTAATAATATTCTATTATATTTAGTGCATTCTCATGGACGTATTAATTTCTGAATATGAATCGTTTTCTTTTCGTTGTGTTTTCTTCAATCATTGGAAGAGTGAAGATTTATCGTTTCATACATTACTTCATTTGTCAAATCATACAAAGCAATTTAGATAATTTGATTCAGTCTAGCTAGTGTGACCAATACTTATTAATGTAAAAATATATGATTTCATGGACAAACATGCGTTAACGGTACAACTCTAAGATACCAAAATGTAACTGAAATTAATCCAATTTAAAATAGAGTTAATTACATTTTTGGTTCTATATTTGCATATTTGCTTTTGATGATTGACATGTTACATATTTGGTCATCTTGTGTAATCCGCTTCCGCTGCGCACAATAGTTGGAGAGTGTTGGAACGTTTTGGTCAATATAAACATGGCACATTTCCAACTCCATCATTGGGATTCTGGGATGAACAACACATTTTCCAACTGTTGGAATTTTCATATCTGTTATACATGTTTCGATCTGTTATTCAGTGGGATATCTTCATCTCATCCCTTCTATAAATATCTTGGTAATGTGCATGCTATATTGTTGTTCTGTGGGATACTCTCAACAAAAACATTGACAATTGCTTTTGCTTTGTTAAAATTATAATCGATTAACTACGCTCTCTCTTTCTCCCTTGTCTCTTAGGTTTTCTTAATAAGAAAGAGTAGCAGTATTTCATATTGCTAATGTTGGAATTTTAAGAAGGTTTTAAAAAATTTACTGTTTTGATTTGTTTAATTATTTTGGTTGTTTTATTTTATTTATTGTAGGGTTATAAATATTTAATTTCCAAGTTTTATTTCTATATTGAATGTGTTTTAATGTTCTAGTTTAATGTGGTGGTGGTTACATGTTCTTGGATGCCTATAAAAAGCCACTCCTCCTTCACATTTGAGATACTACTAAAATACCTCAATATAGACAACAATCTGTTTCTCTTCTTCTACCTTCATACTATTTATACTTTTGATTATTATTTTTGAGCAATGATTCTGTGACTTGGAGATCTATATCCGACTGTGAACGTGCTCATAGCGGACCTTGAGCCTATGTATTGGGGTTCATATCTAAGCTAATTTCCATCCAACTGATGAAACGTAATCACTTACATTTTTGTTTTTTTGGGTAAGAAAGAACCCCTTACAAACCAAAGAGACTAAAAGAACCCTTAACAAACCAAAGAAACTAGGCAACACTAATCATACGATGTTTAGACAACCCCAACAGTTCATCGGCCAACATCGAGCCAAGCCAACCAGGAGACGCATACACAGGTCCAGAATCCAGATTATGACTCCAATTAGCAAAATTGTCAGTATTCTTCTCCCTATAAATATGATAAGTCTCATAGCTCTCAAACTTGTTTAGGATCTCCAAGCAGCTGGAAACCAACGCAGCAAGAGGATGGAGGCAATGAAGTTCACGGTATCTATGAAAGAGCATAGACGAGCGGCTTTACCGGGGCCCTTTTTCTTTCAATTATTTTTTATAAACAGTAGCGCCGCGCGGCTATACGTTTAAAGAAATTCTATTCATAGAGTAGAGCCGCGCGGCTATACCGATGCAATATTATATTTATAGAGTATAGCCGCACGGCTATAATCTTCTCACAATAACACGATCTAGTGGGACCCTTTTTTTCCCCTAAAGAGTATAGCCGCTCGGCTATACGCTTTGCAAAATAACACGCTCAGGTTAGGCGGTTAACGTTTTTTTCTCTAAATAGTATAGCCGCCCGGCTATACGTCGAATTATTTTTTATAAAAGAATAGTATAGCCGCTTGGCTTGACGGGGGTCTTTTTTTTGAAATTTTTTTTTAGGCTATACTCTTTACTGTTTAAATAAAAATTGACTGACCATAAATAAAAATTAAAATTTTGACCCAAAAACATACACATACAAAAGTCAGGAATTGAAGTAAACGCAGGAGAAGTCAGGAATGGAAATCATATTCCCTTTCTTTCCATATCCATTACTGATACGTAAACATGCCCTAAGGGTAATAGAAAAGTAGGAACCTTAATCATACAATTTAGCAGTAGAACAGGACCAGCAACTGACGTTTAGTGGCAGAGGAAATTTGCTACTATAATAGTGAATCACACATAGAAACCCACAAATCTCTCCATTAAAGAACCAAGAAATCAGAGGAAATTTGCTTGGAAAGAGCATGACATTTTGAGGAAATGTAAATTCTGCGATTTGTCGATCTGTCTGTACTTTCCGTGTTTCTACGTAGTGGCAGCAATTGTAATTACATTAAAATTTGTGGACATACTGTTTGCTTAGGTGGCTAAACACTTGGTCTTGTGGACTGGAATTAAGAGGTAACAACTCTTGTCCTGCATTCATTATATATTTGTAAAATTGGACCTATATACCTCCTCAAGCCCATACGGAAGACGTCCGGGAAGTTGATCACCACAAAATAGTGTAGCATCGGACTCACAAAGAACGCGTGACAATTGTGGGTTTGTCCTTAAGACGATCCCAGCCGAGCACTGGGTACAACTGAAGTGAAATCTGGTGTTTTTAATCCCCAAATACTCTTGTAAACAAGAAAGAAATAGAGAACACCAAAGCTTTCAGAAACTAGAGCGAGCAAGCATGAGCATCCAACATTAACAAAAATAAACAAACCCTAGAACTTGAAGAAAGAGAAAGCAAGAACGAGATACGAACTGGGCAATTAAAGCTTCAAAACCCAAACGAGATTATTATAACAACCCAAGTACGTACCAAGTTGCCGGAGGATTTTTCTTTGCGGGAATTGTCAGTATTCTTCTCCCTATAAATATGATAAGTCTCATAGCTCTCAAACTTGTTTAGGATCTCCAAGCAGCTGGAAACCAACGCAGCAAGAGGATGGAGGCAATGAAGTTCACGGTATCTATGAAAGAGCATAGACGAGCGGCTTTACCGGGGCCCTTTTTCTTTCAATTATTTTTTATAAACAGTAGCGCCGCGCGGCTATACGTTTAAAGAAATTCTATTCATAGAGTAGAGCCGCGCGGCTATACCGATGCAATATTATATTTATAGAGTATAGCCGCACGGCTATAATCTTCTCACAATAACACGATCTAGTGGGACCCTTTTTTTCCCCTAAAGAGTATAGCCGCTCGGCTATACGCTTTGCAAAATAACACGCTCAGGTTAGGCGGTTAACGTTTTTTTCTCTAAATAGTATAGCCGCCCGGCTATACGTCGAATTATTTTTTATAAAAGAATAGTATAGCCGCTTGGCTTGACGGGGGTCTTTTTTTTGAAATTTTTTTTTTAGGCTATACTCTTTACTGTTTAAATAAAAATTGACTGACCATAAATAAAAATTAAAAATTTTGACCCAAAAACATACACATACAAAAGTCAGGAATTGAAGTAAACGCAGGAGAAGTCAGGAATGGAAATCATATTCCCTTTCTTTCCATATCCATTACTGATACGTAAACATGCCCTAAGGGTAATAGAAAAGTAGGAACCTTAATCATACAATTTAGCAGTAGAACAGGACCAGCAACTGACGTTTAGTGGCAGAGGAAATTTGCTACTATAATAGTGAATCACACATAGAAACCCCACAAATCTCTCCATTAAAGAACCAAGAAATCAGAGGAAATTTGCTTGGAAAGAGCATGACATTTTGAGGAAATGTAAATTCTGCGATTTGTCGATCTGTCTGTACTTTCCGTGTTTCTACGTAGTGGCAGCAATTGTAATTACATTAAAATTTGTGGACATACTGTTTGCTTAGGTGGCTAAACACTTGGTCTTGTGGACTGGAATTAAGAGGTAACAACTCTTGTCCTGCATTCATTATATATTTGTAAAATTGGACCTATATACCTCCTCAAGCCCATACGGAAGACGTCCGGGAAGTTGATCACCACAAAATAGTGTAGCATCGGACTCACAAAGAACGCGTGACAATTGTGGGTTTGTCCTTAAGACGATCCCAGCCGAGCACTGGGTACAACTGAAGTGAAATCTGGTGTTTTTAATCCCCAAATACTCTTGTAAACAAGAAAGAAATAGAGAACACCAAAGCTTTCAGAAACTAGAGCGAGCGAGCATGAGCATCCAACATTAACAAAAATAAACAAACCCTAGAACTTGAAGAAAGAGAAAGCAAGAACGAGATACGAACTGGGCAATTAAAGCTTCAAAACCCAAACGAGATTATTATAACAACCCAAGTACGTACCAAGTTGCCGGAGGATTTTTCTTTGCGGGAATTGATCTTGGTGTCTTTGGCCATGGTATTCCTACACTTGTTGCACCGAATGTTCCTAGGAAGGTTCAAAACAACATTCTCAATCTGCAAGTTCTTAGGTTGGGCTGCCAATGCCATCACAACTATTGGGTGTGTATGATGAATTCCGATATGAGGAGAGAAGGGAAGAGGTTTAAGAGTCTGGAAGGTAATTTGAGTTGCAGCAAGGTGTCACGTGTTTTAAATATAGCCAGTTTGATCGTTTATGTTATTTTTGGGATATTTGTTGAAATGTCACCTTAACTTATACCTTAGTTTCAATTTGTCACCTGAAAAAATAATTTAAGTGAAATGTCACCTGAAATTTTCAAAATCCATGATTTGTCACCTGAGTTTAACATCATCTGATTTTCCATCCATTTTCAAGGGTATTTTAGTCTTTTCATTTCCAAGGATATTTTTAAAATGGAAAAAATTATTATTAAAAAAATAAAGCTTAAATGTAAAAATGGATGGGGATTAAATGTGAAAAGATATATAATTTTTATAATTTTCAAGGGTCTTTTCATAATTTTTTTATAATGATTTTTCCATTTTAAAAATACTCTTGAAAATAAAAAGACTAAAATACCCTTGAAAATAGTTGGAAAATTGGATGATGTTAAAGTGAGGTGACAAATCATGGATTTTGAAAAATTCAGGTGACATTTCACTTAAAAATTTTTTTTCAGGTGACAAATTGAAACTAAGGTATAAGTTCAGGTGACATTTCAATGAATATCCCTTTATTTTTTGCCAAAGTCAGAAAAGAATAGTAGGAGATTAAGCCTTAAATGAGATCCATCAAAATCTTACAAACAAGGAAAGGATTGTAGGAGATTAAGCATTATCATCAATAACATAATGGAGTATATATGGCTAAAAATAAGAGTAATAAATACATCATCTCAACGACAAGTCATGCAAATATCAGAGCCATCAATTTGGATCCCGATCCAACGTTTTTCTTAATTAAAATTTGATGAACCAATAAGATCCAAATTGGACCATTGAGGGGAGTGATCATTGCTAAATCTCGAGCTCAACTTGTTATTAAGAAAATGCTAGGGAAAATTATTTTGGTGGATTAGGGTTTATTCCATAACAAATAAAATGTCTCAGCTTCTAGCCTAGTAGAAAAAGATCTTAACTTGCAGACCACGGTCTCAGGTTCCAACGTCCATGACATCTTAATTGTGTGTGCGACTATCTCTTGTACTAAAAAATAAGTCTATTTTAACTTTATTGTTTGGTTATGTGATAATTATTGAGGAGGTGAATTCGAACTAGAGTGCAAAAGGGCATGCACATCAGCACAAGCACAAGTGTTTAGGCCTTCTTTTTAAAAAAAAAAAAAAAAAAAAAAAAAAAAAAAAAAAAAAAAAAAAAAAAAAAAAAAAAAAAAAAAAAAAAAAAAAAAAAAAAAAAAAAAAAAAAAAAAAAAAAAAAAAAAAAAAAAAAAAAAAAAAAAAAAAAAAAAAAAAAAAAAAAAAAAAAAAAAAAAAAAAAAAAAAAAAAAAAAAAAAAAAAAAAAAAAAAAAAAAAAAAAAAAAAAAAAAAAAAAAAAAAAAAAAAAAAAAAAAAAAAAAAAAAAAAAAAAAAAAAAAAAAAAAAAAAAAAAAAAAAAAAAAAAAAAAAAAAAAAAAAAAAAAAAAAAAAAAAAAAAAAAAAAAAAAAAAAAAAAAAAAAAAAAAAAAAAAAAAAAAAAAAAAAAAAAAAAAAAAAAAAAAAAATCTAAGCTAATTTCCATCCAACTGATGAACGTAATCACTTACATTTTGTTTTTTTGGGTAAGAAAGAACCCCTTACAACCAAAGAAACTAAAAGAACCCTTAACAAACCAAAGAAACTAGGCAACACTAATCATACGATGTTTAGACAACCCCAACAGTTCATCGGCCAACACCGAGCCAAGCCAACCAGGAGACGCATACACAGGTCCAGAATCCAGATTATGACTCCAAGTAGCAAAACTGTCAATATTCTTCTCCCTATAAATATGATAAGTCTCATAGCTCTCAAACTTGTTTAGGATCTCCAAGCAGCTGGAAACCAACGCAGCAAGAGGATGGAGGCAATGAAGTTCACGGTATCTATGAAAGAGCATAGCCGAGCGGCTTTACCGGGGCCCTTTTTCTTTCAATTATTTTTTATAAACAGTAGCGCCGCGCAGCTATACGTTTAAAGAAATTCTATTCATAGAGTAGAGCCGCGCGACTATACTGATGCAATATTATATTTATAGAGTATAGCCGCACGGCTATAATCTTCTCACAATAACACGATCTAGTGGGACCCTTTTTTCCCCTAAAGGGCTATACGCTTTGCAAAATAACACGCTCATGTTAGGCGGTTAACGTTTTTTCTCTAAATAGTATAGCCGCCTGGCTATACGTCGAATTATTTTTTTATAAAAAAGAGTATAGCCGCTCGGCTTGACGGGGGTCTTTTTTTGAAATTTTTTTTTAGGCTATACTCTTTACTGTTTAAATAAAAATTGACTGACCATAAATAAAAATTAAAAATTTTGACCCAAAAACATACACATACAAAAGTCAGTATGGAAGTAAACGCAGGAGAAGTCAGGAATGGAAATCATATTCCCTTTCTTTCCATATCCATTACTGATACGTAAACATGCCCTAAGGGTAATAGAAAAGGAGGAACCTTAATCATACAATTTACCAGTAGAACAGGACCAGCAACTGACGTTTAGTGGCAGAGGAAATTTGCTACTATAATAGTGAATCACACATAGAAACCCACAAATCTCTCCATTAAAGAACCAAGAAATCAGAGGAAATTTGCTTGGAAAGAGCATGACATTTTTGAGAAATGTAAATTCTGCGATTTGTCGATCTGTCTGTACTTTCCGTGTTTCTACGTAGTGGCAGCAATTGTAATTACATTAAAATTTGTGGACATACTGTTTGCTTAGGTGGCTAAACACTTGGTCTTGTGGACTGGAATTAAGAGGTAACAACTCTTGTCCTGCATTCATTATATATTTGTAAAATTGGACCTATATACCTCCTCAAGCCCATACGGAAGACGTCCGGGAAGTTGATCACCACAAAATAGTGTAGCATCAGACTCACAAAGAACGCGTGACAATTGTGGGTTTGTCCTTAAGACGATCCCAGCCGAGCACTGGGTACAACTGAAGTGAAATCTGGTGTTTTTAATCCCCAAATACTCCTGTAAACAAGAAAGAAATAGAGAACACCAAAGCTTTCAGAAACTAGAGCGAGCGAGCATGAGCATCCAACATTAACAAAAATAAACAAACCCTAGAACTTGAAGAAAGAGAAAGCAAGAACGAGATACGAACTGGGCAATTAAAGCTTCAAAACCCAAACGAGATTATTATAACAACCCAAGTACGTACCAAGTTGCCGGAGGATTTTTCTTTGCGGGAATTGATCTTGGTGTCTTTGGCCATGGTATTCCTACACTTGTTGCACCGAATGTTCCTAGGAAGGTTCAAAACAACATTCTCAATCTGCAAGTTCTTAGGTTGGGCTGCCAATGCCATCACAACTATTGGGTGTGTATGATGAATTCCGATATGAGGAGAGAAGGGAAGAGGTTTAAGAGTCTGGAAGGTAATTTGAGTTGCAGCAAGGTGTCACGTGTTTTAAATATAGCCAGTTTGATCGTTTATGTTATTTTTGGGATATTTGTTGAAATGTCACCTGAACTTATACCTTAGTTTCAATTTGTCACCTGAAAAAATAATTTAAGTGAAATGTCACCTGAAATTTTCAAAATCCATGATTTGTCACCTGAGTTTAACATCATCTGATTTTCCATCCATTTTCAAGGGTATTTTAGTCTTTTCATTTTCAAGGATATTTTTAAAATGGAAAAAATTATTATTAAAAAAATAAAGCTTAAATGTAAAATGGATGGGGATTAAATGTGAAAAGATATATAATTTTTATAATTTTCAAGGGTCTTTTCATAATTTTTTTATAATGATTTTTCCATTTTAAAATACTCTTGAAAATAAAAGACTAAAATACCCTTGAAAATAGTTGGAAAATTGGATGATGTTAAAGTGAGGTGACAAATCATGGATTTTGAAAAATTCAGGTGACATTTCACTTAAATTTTTTTTTCAGGTGACAAATTGAAACTAAGGTATAAGTTCAGGTGACATTTCAATGAATATCCCTTTATTTTTTGCCAAAGTCAGAAAAGGATAGTAGGAGATTAAGCCTTAAATGAGATCCATCAAAATCTTACAAACAAGGAAAGGATTGTAGGAGATTAAGCATTATCATCAATAACATAATGGAGTATATATGGCTAAAAATAAGAGTAATAAATACATCATCTCAACGACAAGTCATGCAAATATCAGAGCCATCAATTTGGATCCCGATCCAACGTTTTTCTTAATTAAAATTTGATGAACCAATAAGATCCAAATTGGACCATTGAGGGGAGTGATCATTGCTAAATCTCGAGCTCAACTTGTTATTAAGAAAATGCTAGGGAAAATTATTTTGGTGGATTAGGGTTTATTCCATAACAAATAAAATGTCTCAGCTTCTAGCCTAGTAGAAAAAGATCTTAACTTGCAGACCACGGTCTCAGGTTCCAACGTCCATGGCATCTTAATTGTGTGTGCGACTATCTCTGTACTAAAAATAAGTCTATTTTAACTTTATTGTTTGGTTATGTGATAATTATTGAGGAGGTGAATTCGAACTTGAGTGCAAAAGGGCATGCACATCAGCCTCAGGCATGTACTGGTCAGTGTCACTAAGGTAATCATTGCTAAATCTCGAGCTCAGCTTGCGTACCTCTTGCGCCTCTTTTGGTTCTCTCCCGCGACATGGTTTCAGTTTCTGTTCAAAGTAAACAAAGATGGTGAACTCAAACTGAAAAAAACACAAAACAAATCCGGGTTGCATATAGGAGTCTCTGCCCGTACCCGTTTGCCCGGCCCATTCGCGTGGGTTGAATAAAACGGGCAATATTTATATGGGTTTATCTGTTTATTCAGGACCCGCTTATAGCAAGCCCAAAAAGTAAGTACATTTTGACCCTGCAACAACCAGAGACCTCTACAGTCTTTCAAATCCTTACTGGCTTCCTCCACAGGTTAGTGGGTTTTTGGGTTTTTCGTTCCGAGTTTTTGTTTCACACTTTTCCCAATTGAATGTGGTCTTTTTGTAAACTTTCTGCATTTACGCTTTTGGCTGGATGAGGTTAGTGTGATATTGGTATATTGCAGACCACCCATATGTGATAATTCCTGAAAGAACTTGCTATAGAATGGTGAAAGCTTATGGTAGATAGTAGTAGCAGCTTGGTTTGCGCCCTTTCTTAATTTGGTTTAGCCATTAGCCTAGAATACGTAGAGCCCTTTTCATGGACACAGGTAGCAGTTGGTATTTGATGGGGCTTTGTTTGTATTGCTGCTCTGTTATCAATTGGTAGCGGCAGCAGCATTTTGGGTTTTTTGCTCTGAAATTATGCAGCCATTCAGTTAGTACTGGCTGTACCTCTCGTCTCTTTTGTCTTTATCCACCGTAAACCTTGCTATATAGACAATACAAGGCACTTTGATGGAAATGACTGAAACTTGCCAGCTAAAAGCTCTTGTTCTATCAGCTTAAGTGAAGTTGTGGTGCCACTCATTTTTATTTTTCATGGTTCATGTTGCTTTAACTGTTAAATTATGGCCAAGTTTCATGCTCATTTCCTTTTCACCCAAAACCCCTCTTTCCTAATCAAATCCTTTTTAACGTGCCAGTAGTTGTATTTGGCCTGCCCGTTGCTTCTGTTATATTGACAGCAGCTTAATGTTTCTACTAGTTTTGTATTTTGTTCTTTTTTGTACCTTATGTAGATCTATAAGAGATATTCTTGTTGAATTTATACTTTTTTATTAGCTTTGTTCAATTTTTACCGTCTTTCCCTTATGAATAAGTTTCTCAAATATATGTTTTTGTCATGGAGTTTGCTTCTGATCGTGCATCAAACCTTCAATTCCTGAGGCAGGGTGGTGGAGAAATAGAACAAATTTAGAAGAAGCTCTGACATAAAGGTTGAAAATGAGTGCTGAAGCTTTGCAAGTTGCTAAGGTGTACCGCCACCTTCTCAGGGCTGTCAAGAAACACGTTGCCAAAGAAGACAGGGCGAGGCATTTCAAAGAATACGTAACTGAAGAATTCAGGAACAACTGCAAACTGTCAGATCCATCTTCCATTCAGCAGAAGATTAAGCTTGCCCATAACTACACTTTTCTTCTTAACAGTGTGCACCATCACCAGGTACGGATGTAATTCATTGCTCTGTCTGATCAAAGTTTTTTTCTTTTTGCAAATTGTAAGGTCCCTGTCATGTTCCATTATGTTGGTTTTCTTTTTAATCTCCATCAAGCATCTAACTTTGTATAATGGATGTGCAGGACCTGTTGTTCTCTTACAACATTGCTGTGGATAGATCAGATGAGATGAAAAAAGTACTTGGAAAATCGGCTGCAAGTGTTGGTCTTCAACTTCCTGAGGTTTATCAGCCTTGATATTTAGTCGGCTATAATCTGCTACATCCTATTCTGGCAGAGAAAAGAAAATCAACAACTTATTTGGATAGGTCAGCCACATAGCATACCTCGCCAGAGTAGAAGTAGCTTGACGGCTGACACGACCGACACGTGTACAACTTTTTACCGTTTGATTCACCATTGGTCAAGCAGGAAGAAGTTGATGGGCACCACCAATTGGCATTGGCAGCTTCTTAGAGAGGAGCCCGATCACAATGCTGACGGGTAGAGACAAAAGGGTGAAGAGAAAGTCAACAAAATCCTTGCCAGCTTCGGCGAAGAGAACTTTTTTATGCTTTTTGTCAATGAGGAGCTTCAAACTAACTGGAGAAGCAGAGACTGATTTGGTTTTGGGTTTGGATTTGGAGGGGGCCATTGAGGAAGAGTGAGTAAGAAACAAGATTATTAAGGACCTATTTATTTGTAGACCCACTACTTTGAGAAATTGAAACGTTTTTCAATGGTCATTTGGATGGACCTTATCCAAATTATACGTTTTTCAATTGTCATTTTGGGGGAAATCCTCTTCTTTTTTGGGATAGATTATTCAATTATCTTTATGACATAACCTAGCATGACATTTCATATTTTTATTCATGGGCTTACGAGATGTTGCAGGATATTCATTCTCGTACCTTGGGGGGTGAAGGCTAACCAATCAAATTAAGCAAACAATTTCTTCATCCAAAGGGAAATGATCCGAAATAGTCATTACATAAATCCAAAATAAGGAAAACCTCCAAATTGACATCATAGAATACAAATCTCATTTCACGAAGCACAAGTGTTTAGGCCTTCTTATTACGAATCTCATCATAGAATACGAATCTCATTAGTAAGGACTGTAATAGAATAGAAATCCCAATCCACAAACCAAAATGAAACCCCAAAAGCTCAATGTCTCTAGAGGACCAAAGTTGAAAAGTTTGTGCTGTTTCTTTCCAAGGAAGACATTGGTAAGAGCGGTATTTGACTCCAGTGATGCCTTCACCAACTTCAAACCCTACAAGAGAGAGAAATATACACGTAAGACATTTAGCTATCTAAATAGATCAACAAGCCTCTGATAAGAGTTAGAGAAATATATAGGACATGAAACCTCTTGCATGCCAAGATCAACCTCCTTAACTTGAAGTGCATCAATCCCCTTCACGTTGAACTTTTGAAGCACTGCAACATTTGATTCGGTGGTCATTGGCTTCACTTCCAAATTATCCATTATCATGTAAATAACACCACCCTTGACATAGCCAGCCTTAATATTGCTCGAGTCATTGTTGGTCGGCAATGGCAATTGAAGGATATTGGCCGCAGAAATTGTTGTTTTTTGGGTTTGAGCAGGGTGTCCTTAAGATTGAGTGGCAAGTATGAGTCGACACTAAGAGTTTCGGCACTTTCGTAAAGGTTGCCTAAGCAACCAACCATACCATCAGTTGAGAGGAGCCTAGTATAACAGTTGCAACATGCAAAGACAGAAAACTGAAAAGGAAATCAACAACTTCCTTGCTTGCTTCAGCTTCAGCAAACAGAACTTTGTGGCTTTTTGTGTCAACCAGAAGCTTCAAACTCGTGCTAGCCCTGTTGGTGGTAGCCATTGAGGGGATATTAAGGACAGAAAAGAAGGAGCATGTGCTTAAGCATTCAAAGACCTATTTTAAGCTTCACAAAAGAAGTTATCCCAAATTCAAAATTATTCAAAAAGGCAATGGTGAATGGATCCAGAAGGTGGAGGGTCACCTTGGACTCTGCATCATCAGTCGATCAGAAAACAACTCTACATATACAAATCTGTCATTACCTATACATAGGTAATATATTCTACGGATGAGTGAAAAAATATGTATTTATTTCCACTAGTTGGCATCCATTAACTAAACCAACAGCCGGATTTACAATTCGTTTTGTTTTGTATTTGCTTTTTCATATTAGTTGTATTGTATCTTCAGGCTTACTAGTTTAGAGGCAAAAGACAGTGA